TGTTGGAGGAGAATATTGAAAGTGCCGTAGACTGCCAAAAGAACCAACAGATCTGTGTTGGAAGAAGTGCTCCTTGGAGGCCAGGATGGCCAAATTTCATCTCTCATACTTCAGATATATTGTCAGGAGGGACTAGTCGCTGGAGAAGGATATCATGTTTGGTATGGTAGAGGGTCAGGGAACAAGAGGAAGACCCTCAGCGAGATGGGTTGGCAAAGTGGCAGCGTCAATGGGCTCAAGTGTGGCAACAATAGATCAGGCAGTGTTTTGTTCTGCTGTGCATAAGGTTGCTATGAGTTGGTACCGACTCGATGGCACCTAACAACAACAATACTGACAAGCATTTCCAAGATGTATGAAGTGAAAAAAGCCTGATTTTGAGGAGTGTATAAAGTATCCTTCTATATTGAGAGGGAAAAGCAAAGACATGCCTGTATATAGTGACATAGACTATATCAGATCACGCAAGAAACTGATTAGGTAATGTGGCTGGACTGGGCACTAGATGAGGAGCAGATGCATTTTCTGTGTATTTCATTTGTCCTACAGACCTCGTCTATTGTCTAACCGGAGCTATGAACATTTGTTTTCATACTCTCCCTTTGGATGATAGAAGAATGAACAAACCTCTCATGGATGAAGTACAGCCAAGTACAGGACAGTCTATGGTTCCTTAGAAGTGACAGTAGACTTTGTCTCACATACTTGGGATATATCATCAGGAGGGACCAGTCCCTGGAGAAGAACAGCATGCTTAGTAGAGGGTTGGTGGAAAAGAGGAAGACCCACAGTGCGATGGATAGACAAAGTGGCTGCAGCGATGGGGTCAGACTTAACAATTGTGAGAACAGCACAGGACCAGGGAGTGTTTCATTCTGCTGCACATAGGGGCACTCTAAGTTAGCACCAACTCAGGGGTACCTAACAACTTTGGTTTACAAGGCATTTCTTTCATCTAAGATAGGTTTGTGTTTCCTGTCCAGCTGAGTGGTCCCATGATGTTATTTTCCCAGTTGCATGGTTGGGCCTTGTTGATGCTCTCTTAGTGTTCATCCACATGATAGTTTAAAATAGTGATAATCTCATACACAGCTTGCATTTATTGATTTCTTTTAAAGGAGGGCATTAAAAACATGTTTTGTTTGAAAGCCAAAGTTTCAGTGCATGGCAGCTGAAGAGGGCTGGGGTAGAGTCATATGTGTGAAGAGGAATGGCCCTAATGAAAGTAAATGACCTTACTATGTTATATTATTGACAAATAATGCTACCTACTTAGAATTGTAGAGGCAGTAGCAATGGGCTCGAATTTAACAATGGTTGTGGGGA